TGTTTTGAACAATATTGCCTCAAAGAGAAATAAATTTAAATTATTTAATCATGACTTCTCATGAAGATTTTCATAGAGCTCCATCCCTCTACTAAAATAGAATATTTTTTCAAAAGTGAGTGTGGTGAGAATAAAAGATAGACTTGTTTGTTGGCATTCTTGAGGTCAAATGACTAATTAGAAAGATTTCATGGGTTTTGAAAGAAAAGACAGGGGTATATGGTTTAAAACAAGAAATAGACAAGAGTGCAGGGGAACTGATTAGACATGGCAACTGAGCAGATATCGAGAGTTAGAACATGGGATTTCCAGTTGGATTTTTAATTGGAATCACTTGAGAATTTAATTCTACAGTTTAAAATCCAGTTATATTTACAAGGGAAAATCTATACTTAGTTCTTTTTTCAATTCATATACCCAGGCCCCTGGAAGTATGCCTCACTGTCATTCAAAGAGTCATGTCTGCAAGGCTGATTCCTTAATGGTCTCTGTTTGAAGGTCTTATCATTTTGATTCAGAGTCAATCACATCATCTATAACCAGGCAACAGCATGAATAAACACTAACAATTTCCTTCTACTTTTTTATAGTCTGATACACAATACAGACTCTAAGGTTATTATATAATATTTAATATTTCCAGAAATGAACCATATACAATAGATATTTGAAGATGGTCCCCACCCCACACCCCAAAAAAGCAAAACACACATCTATAGTATAGAATCTCTGACATTCTACATGTTGTCTAAAATGTAAGCAGTGGTCTGGGGTGGTGGCTCAGTGGTAAAGCGCTTGCCTAGCATGTGTGAGATACTGGGTTTGATTCTCAGTACTACATATAAAAATAAATAAAATAAAGGTCCATTGACAACTAAAAGAATATTAAAAAAATAATTTGAAGTGTAAGTGGTCTGTTTTTCCTGGTCCAAGGTTCCTCCTGAGGTACTTTTTGTCATTGTTTTTTTAGTAAGACTCACCCAATTTTTCTGTTTTAACATTTGGAATAGATTGTACATTGTTGTGTTGATAGAAACCTAAGTACTGATTGGGTCAATGAATAAGCTTCAAGGCTACTGCCTGACAACCAAACTTAGCTTCTCCCCTATTCCTTAGGACCTGCTTACCAGTGACTCATGTGAGTTCAGTATATATCAGTAGGCCAAGCCAATATCTCTGTCACAATAATTTTCTGCTTTTATTTATTTTTCCCTTGCCCAATTTATTTTAGGCCTGATCTGAGTTTTCCATTCCAAAGACCTGTGGAGCTATGTTCAATTTTCTGGTTTCTCCTTAACTATGGAAAAGCAATCATAGTTGCCAGATCAGGTAAACTATGATTTAAAACTCAGCTTTCTCAGTAGATTTACTCAGATCAGTGGAATTAGTTGTTCCATGTAGGAACAACAATTGGAAGTGTTTTTCAATAGAACTAATTTTTAGGCAGGAAGTATGATATTAAATAAATTTTATTTGAACAAATAGTTGAATAATGACTGTAGTGGATTCATGAAATAGTGAAGTAGTTCTCAGTATAATGGCAATAATGAATTTTGGGGTTAGCCATCAATTTTAAAGTACTAATGTTTTAAAATATTTTGTAGTCGAGAGTCAAGTAAACTAAATAGTTGATTTTCCCTGGAACATTCTGCTGCTTCTTCCTGAAAAAGGAAAAGCCAATTTTTTTTTGTAGTCACTATTATTCTGTCTTATGAAAATAATAATATGCCATATTATTATGAATGTGTAACAAAATTAATCACACAGTCTAGAAGCTTACAAAGGAAGGCCGGATAAAGTTTGTAACTTTCTGTTATGACTGGTTTAAATGACATTAAGGAAAAATCTTTCTTCTCCAAATGATAATGAAGGTAAATGGCACTTTCAGGTTTTACAAAATTGGGTTCCTCATGGTTGGACTGTAGTTGAATAATTCAGTATAAATTTCCAAATAGAGTGATCTGAAATTATTCTGCTGTTAAGAATGTAGCAACTAAGTCAATTAAAAATTGGATGAATACTTCACTGGATAGCAAGATATAAATAATGTACATCTCTTGGGTAATTAGCAAACTGTGTCTCCTTTGAGGCAGTAACTTATTTAACTTTCCTCATATCATGGGCCTAGCTAAGCCATAGGATGTTATTTGAATGCAGCATAAGAATCAAGGAATTCATGGAAGCATGTATGGCTCTTCCAGGTCTGAAGAGATGATCTGATTGGTTGACTGGACTTAATAATGACAGTAACTATTATTTCTCCATAATATAAAACCTAAAGTTGTTCTCTATATTCACTATAATGATCATTTGGCTTCATATAGACTAGATAGATGACAGATGAATGAATAGGTAGAAGGATACTTCTTCATACCTATGAAATAGAATTAAGAGTGAGAGTAATTCAGTATTGAAGATCAAAAATGGAGCTTTAGGAGTAATCCTGGACATTTCTAAGACCTAACTAAGACATAACTTTTACCAGAGGACTTCATCAACTTCCATACTTTAATTTAATAGTATAATTTGGGAATCAAATTGGTGTGTTTAAAACTTTTCCTGGAAGATGTTACAACATTCTTTTAATTAAAGTTTTTCTTCAGAGACTTGATATATTTTTAAACTATTGTTATGTAAATATAAAATTAGTTGGCCAATCCACCTGAGTGGTGAAAATGGTACAACCAAAAGTAAAATTATTGGGGGGGGGCCACATACAGTTACTTAATAGTTAAGGTAGAATTTACTGTGCTTCTCTACATGCTATACATTGAATAATGGTTATTTTGTTGTAAGTTTTTTTGTATGGATGTAAAGACTCCTTTGAAAATAAATAATGTTATTCAATATTATTTCAAGAGGAATTAAATTCAAATCCTCATTTTATGCTTGTGTGGCTTAAGCTATACTCAGGAATCAAATTTTAACTGAATGTTGTGATACAGAATTTATAGGTAATAAACTACCTAGAGTACTGTCTTGTTCTCTTCTCTCTCTCTCTCTCTCTCTCTATATATATATATATATATATATATATATATCCATCCATCCTTTATTCTTTCAGAATCCTTTTAACTAATTATTAGTAATCTTTCTATAATATTGTTTTCCAGGTTTACGCCATCAGTCTATCTTTATAGATTAAAACATTCATAACTGAATTCTTTAGGAATGAAATGATTTTTGTCTTATACCAAAGTTCATGTAATAGCTAGGAAAGATAAAGGAATCCCCTGCTATGCTTTAGTTCTGAATTTCATTATGCCATAATTGAGTATTTGACAATGCTTCAATGTAAGAAGAAACCATGAAAATTTCCTTAAATTATTATGCAAATTAAATTACAGGTAATGGGCATGAGTAGGAAGAAATGTTTATTCAAAATATATTTGGAAAATGTTATCCTCAAACTTAACAATAATTAATATTTCCTGGACCACACACACATATGTGCACATGTGCTCATAGAGTGAACTAGAGACAGAATTTATGTTTTTTACATTTTTTTGATCTTGTAGGAAAAGGACTAACCACTTTCAATTCTTTACCCTTATTAAAGTTATTCGGGAGGACTGATCTTTCCCCCCCCCCCCGACAATAATCCTAAAGAATTTCTCATCCACACATTCATTTTGGTTATGAATTTACTTATTCAACTGATAGGTACTAATGTCATAGTCTGACTTTCAGAAATACAGTTGATTGCATCACTTATTTTATAAAATGAAGTATATTTTAGATTAAAAACCATTAGTTTTTATTTAAACATTGAATCAATGTGTAGTTTCTACTGTATTTACAATATCAGACAGAAGTAATTTTCAATTAGTTCTATGAACTTGTTGAGATTTGAAATTATATTCCAGAGTACTATTAATCAATTTACATGTAATATGACCCTATATATTTTCTATATGATATGAATAATCCATAAAATGTAATATTTTATGAACCACATTCTACTTTTCTGATTTATAAAATTGCAGTATTATGATAGAGAACAAATGTATGTTTTACAAGTTGTAATACATTACCAAAAATTCATTTTGCAGAAAACAAATGAATATGGCTAAAGTGGTACTAAAGTAATATCTTTGACTCCTCCCTCCACAATCTCCCAAATCACTCAGCTCTTAACTGCCACAATTTTTTGTGTTCATTTCCTTTCTCAATCTCTATCACCCTTGTCAGTTCAGATCTGTTTAATCTTTCCCCAATCTTTATTCTTTGTATTCTTCAACCTGTGTTCCTCCTCATTATCATATTAACTTTAAACTAGAGCTTTGAACAACCCAGAAATGATCTGAATCTGAACTTTTCAAAAACTTTAGTTATTTATACTGTTAACTAATTGAGCAACAATCCTCAGTTTGGTGTTTAAGGTATTCCAAAATATGGTCTCAAATTATCTCTAGCACAATGATTCTTTCTTAATCATGGGCCAAAATTGATTTAAAACATGTTCAAATGGATGCATGCAAAGAATTGTATATAATTTAACAGAATTTCTAAAACTTCTCCCACAAGGCTTGGAAAATGTCTTTTCTCTACAGCCATACTTACTTTCTGCTACACATATTTTAAATTCTGTCCCAGAGAAACCATAAGCAACTTGAGGACTGATATGGTGTTTCATGCAGTTAATTTTTGCGTATTCTCATAGTACTTCCCAAATGTCTCCATCAGACAACTTGACCTTTGGAATGTTTCCATTGTGTTCTTCTGGAAATGCTTTTATTTCCTTTATCTAACCTGTTGACCTGTTACCTGCATAACTTGGGAAGCCTTTGAGGAAGATAAACATCATGTTTCAGGTTTTCATTACTACTATTCTTCCTAAGATAAATCATTTTTTCTGGTGGGAAATAATTTTTACTAAAAACCTTGGTTTATGCTCACATTGATTGATGAAGGCTTCATTTGCATTTAAATGTGATGTCTGTTGAGTTAATGTCAACTAAACAAGTGTTCTAAGGTGTTTTTCCATTTCTATTTTCCAGGTTTCTTGAGTACAGGGGATCAGGCCGCAAAAGGAAACTATGGACTTCTTGATCTCATACAGGCTTTAAGATGGACTAGTGAGAACATTGGATTCTTTGGTGGTGACCCCTTGAGAATCACTGTTTTTGGATCAGGCGCTGGGGGTTCATGTGTCAATCTGCTGACTTTATCCCATTATTCTGAAGGTAACCGTTGGAGCAATTCAACCAAAGGTATTATGCAGGTTGCAAATTTTGACAATTTTGGTGTCTGCATGCCACCACCATCAGTAATATGTGATACTTTGTATATACTTCTCTGTTCAAACTGAATGTGAGGTTGAATTCAATAACTGTTTAAAACTATGTTTCTTCAGCTTTCTATGCATGTTTAAATTTTTGTCAAACTCTTCTTTGTCTCTTGTGGAGCTTGGTAAGGATGCCCTTTCAAGCACACTTCAGATTAGCTAGTATTGTAGTTATTTTCTTTTCTTCAAAGGATGATTTGGGGGAAAATCAGGCAAAGACATTAGCAGTTTTGTCCTCTTTGTTTATTCAGTAATCAAAATCAAATAAGATTTTTTTTTTATTTAGCACAGGGATTGTATATAATATATTTTCAAGACAATAGACATTTTAAGCCCTTTAGTAGTTTGAAACTAATGGAGCAGTCATAAACTAGTTTGTCTGGAATCATTAGATTTCACTTGTTGTCTGAGAAAAGAATGGATATTTGATTATTTTGCATGCATGATCCAAAATTGTCAAAGCATCAAGGTCACTAGTTGAGTTTTTGGTTAAAAAATAAAATATATTTGATTTTGTGACTTTTTCTATTTTCAACTCCAAAAGTGTTTTTCCCCTAAAGATTGGCAAAGCAGCATGGAGCACTAAAGCTGCTTAAAACTATGAAATATTTTTGTTTACATTTTAGCTTTGACATCCTTTTTCCAAAGTGCCTGTTCAAGGCTCTTCATGTTGTTCTTTATGGGCTCCATTTTACCATGTGATAAGGAACCCATTCTACCTACATAATTAATTTAAAACTTGAAAGACCAATAAAGAACAGAAAAGATTTGTTGAAGAAGTCTGGAAAGTAAATATTTTTCTCCATTATTTATGTATAATAGGAAAATAGAAAATATGCATCAACACAGCCCATTTTTTATTTTATGTTTCTTAATTCTCATTTTATATATATGGAAAACCTAAGTATATATTATCAAGCAAAATTTATGAAGCATCTTATTTTGTGAAACTTTTATGGTTGAGCATCATGCATAGAATATTTGTTTTAGTTATCAAAGTTACATTAAGGTGGAATTCTAAAAGAAAAACCAATCAATGAGTGTATAGAGAGAATTTTGCTTTATTTAATTTATTAACATATTTTATATTGCATCTCATTTATATTAGTAAGATTCTGATTTGAGATGACAAAATTATATAGCTGAGATTACTTTAAAATGCATAGAGATTTTGCTTTGAAATGAAWTGGCTTATTTTGAAATAACAGATTTTGTATTTTTAATTAAAAAGATTAGATTGTTCTAGAGATAGCACCTTATTTGTGCCAATATTTAGGCAAGTTAGCATACATTACTGATATCACTGGAATAGACTTCTTGGCCTCATTTTAACAAAAATGGGTACCAAAGCTAGTTTTAGCTTATCAAACTAGCATTGGATTAAAAAAAAATAAGTTAGTTTATCAATCAACATCGCTATTCAACAATTGGCAGTGAGAAGAACACTGGCAAATAGTTCTGCAAATAGTAGAAAATATAACCTTCCATCACACCATTCAAAGGAAGCTCTGGCCAGAGACAGAGGTAGGTTTGTTCTTAAACCCATCTCCAGGATGTGCTGTCAGACTTGACCAAGAAAGGCTCAAAACTCTTGAAATAATACAAAGGATTCTGCCTCCAATGTAATCATTGGCTTCAAAGTCTGTAAACTCCATAAAGGGCTACAGCAGTGTGCCGGCTGTGACCCCAGGAGTGAGCTACATCTCCAGTACATTCAACAAGTACTGTCAATAGTGAAAAAATAAATGGTCTTTCCCAAGACCATCTAACTAGGGTATTTCAGGCAATATTTAACATGATGTGCATTTTTCACAAAATCTTTTTGTGGCATAATTAGTTAACATCACTGAGTCCTGGAAATTGAAAGAATATCATCAAAGTCACTAGGCTTATTTTAATTGTAAAATTTTTAATTCATAAAGTATTTCTTCAAGCAAATTTTGACAGCGGCCTATATGTCTTTAAAATTTTTGGTATTCGTATTGTTTATTCTAGTACACCTTGTTTTATCAAAGTAAAAATATGTTCCCAAAGAGTCAGAAAGTAAAATTGTTTAACTTTTAAAAATGTTTAGAACTATCTAGGAACACATTATAGACATTTTTTTTAATATATATGCATGTTTGGAAAACACTTCTAATTTAGAACTACTTTAGCAGTTGTAAAAGAAGTTACTATAAAAGGAGTTATTTTCTCATTAACATGTATGAATAATTAAGCATATTGTTAAATAACTGAACTACAAAGCTGCATCTGGAATTGATAATAAATGTAAAAATTTAAAAGAAAATAGACAAATTATAGTTTAAAACAAGAATGTCATTATAAAGTACCCTATTAAGTAGATTAGGGTAAATGCATTTGTAAATTTGAATGACATGCAGCTCTTATCAAGCTACCTATGGGGCCATAATTTACAATTCTTAAACATAATTAAGTAAAAAGCAGTGGACCATGTATGTTTCACTTTTTCTGATAGAATAATGCAAGTTACATTCAACAGTGGAAGATGTTTACTCACCCACCCCAACTGGATCTTTCTGCTCATAATTTTTTCTTTAACTTAGTGAAGACACTTCAAATGTTATGTCTTCTCTGAAAGAAAATATTCAGTTTACTATGTCTGACATGAAGATCTGGAATGAGTATGTCTAAAGTGATACTTTGTTTTGTGTGACTTTAAGGCCATCCCCAGGGAATTAGCAAATTCCCAACCCCAGTAGTTTTATGAGACTACAAGTCTTTTTCAAAATAAAGCTAGTGTGATCAACACAGAGTTATTTTGAGAGAAGACAGATAAAATCAATTTGGAAAAAAATATCCCAAATAAACAATACAGTCTGATGGTGAGTCAAAAGAGAGAGGATTGGCCCCCTCTGGTTGGTGTTGACTGTATTTACATGCTCCTAGAAGATAATATTGGGGGCTTTTTTCCTGTAGTATTTACAACTTCTCCTCTTCTCTTTGCTTACTGCCTCTTTGAGACTACAAAACTTTAGAACTATTAATCCCTATAACAGGTGTCACTTAAAGCCCAAGACTTAGTTACATCTCTGATTCATTATACCCTGGGGATGACTTTATGTACTTTCTCTATTAGGCCAAATGTCTCTCTCTGTTTCTTGATATGTATCTGGGTTTTTATATACGTGTCTCAGAGGTCAGATGTTATTATTATTATTGTTTGGTTTTTTTTGCCACGATGTTCTTCAAAGGTTACCTGAAACTCTTTGTTGATTTTCCCATAGGACTTTTTCAACGAGCAATAGCTCAAAGTGGAACAGCCCTTTCCAGCTGGGCTGTTAGTTTCCAACCTGCAAAATATGCTAGAATGTTGGCCACAAAAGTTGGTTGCAATGTTTCAGATACAGTAGAGTTAGTGGAATGCCTCCAGAAGAAGCCTTACAAAGAACTTGTTGATCAAGATATTCAGCCTGCCAGATACCACATAGCCTTTGGACCTGTGATCGATGGTGATGTCATACCAGATGACCCCCAGATATTGATGGAGCAAGGAGAGTTTCTCAACTATGACATAATGTTAGGAGTTAACCAAGGGGAAGGGTTAAAATTTGTTGAAAATATAGTAGATAGTGATGATGGTATATCAGCTAGTGACTTTGACTTTGCTGTTTCCAATTTTGTTGATAATTTATACGGCTATCCTGAAGGCAAAGATGTTTTGAGAGAAACCATTAAATTCATGTACACTGACTGGGCTGATCGGCATAACCCTGAAACCAGAAGGAAGACACTGTTGGCATTATTTACTGACCATCAGTGGGTGGCACCAGCTGTAGCCACAGCAGATCTTCACTCAAACTTTGGTTCACCTACATACTTCTACGCCTTTTACCATCATTGCCAAACAGATCAGGTTCCAGCTTGGGCTGATGCAGCCCATGGAGATGAGGTTCCCTATGTATTGGGAATCCCCATGATTGGTCCCACAGAGTTATTTCCTTGCAATTTCTCCAAAAATGATGTGATGCTGAGTGCTGTCGTAATGACATATTGGACAAACTTTGCTAAAACTGGGTATGTACTTAAGGATTGATGTTTACTAGAATTTTAGTAGAATATATCCCTTTAAATATTTTTAAAAACAATACATATTTTGTGCCCAAATAATTTAACAAATTGATAGCAGCAATATAGCAATTTCTTTTTGTTAAAAATTAATTCTATATTATAATGTTTCAAAAAGTCATTACTATTTTAGTCTTGTTTTTTAAAAGTTTATTGAGAAAGGCTTATGTCTCTATTGCATTGCTGAAAAATTGCTTATGTTTTTGGTTTTTTGTATTACAAAGAACTTATTTTTGTTACTATTTACTAGTACAGAATATTATTTCATAGTTTTTCCAGTTCATAATACTGTGCGCTATTTGATCTTTCTAACAACCGTCTGAGACAAAGTCAGATACTATTAATCCTATTTTACACATAGGGGTCCTGAGGTTCTGAGAGCCTCTTATAGATATTCATATTTCTGATATGTAGCAGCACCATAACTCAAGTATTTATCTGCCAGTCCCAAATCTTTCTATTTTTCCATACCATTTCTATATAGATTTCCTATAAGATAATTCATATGTATATAAATATTTAAATAATTTTTTTAAAAAATCTTGGAATAGCTGAATGTAGAGGAACACACCTGCAATCCCAGCTGGCTCTGGAGACCAAGGCAGAAGGATTGCAAATTTAAAGCCAGCCTCAACAACTTAGCAAGACCCTGTCACAAAATTAAAAAAAAAAAAAAAAGAGGCTGAGATATGGCTCAGTGGTTGAGTGCCCCTGGGTTCAATCTCTGGTACCAAAAATAGATAGATAGATAGATAGATAAATCTTGGAATAGATAGCAGCCTGTTTTTAGTGGACATAGAGGGCAAGAATGTGAGACCTATTGTTTTGTATTTTCAACCATCTAGAAATCTGCCCCTTATATGAGATTTAAATTTCTAAATTGACCCAAAAAACACAACCTAAAGCCTTGTTGTGTTACCTCTTCGCTTGACATTAAAGTACTGATATTTTGACTATGGACAAAACAATCTTGTTCTCATAAATTCTTTTTTCTTTCCTAGTGACCCCAATCAACCAGTCCCTCAAGACACAAAATTCATCCATACCAAACCCAACCGCTTTGAAGAAGTAGCATGGACCAGATATTCCCAGAAAGACCAACTTTATCTCCATATTGGATTAAAACCAAGAGTTAAAGAGCATTACAGGGCCAATAAGGTGAACCTCTGGTTGGAGCTGGTACCTCATCTGCATAATCTCAATGACATTTCTCAGTATACCTCGACAACAACTAAAGTGCCATCAACTGACATCACTCTCAGACCCACGAGAAAAAATTCTGTACCTGTCACATCAGCCTTTCCCACTGCCAAGCAGGATGATCCCAAACAACAGCCAAGTCCATTTTCAGTGGATCAAAGGGACTACTCAACAGAGCTGAGCGTCACTATTGCAGTCGGAGCATCACTGTTGTTTCTGAACATCTTGGCCTTTGCAGCCCTGTACTACAAAAAGGATAAAAGGAGACACGATGTCCACAGGAGGTGCAGCCCTCAGCGTACTACCACCAACGATCTGACCCATGCACAAGAAGAGGAAATCATGTCCCTCCAAATGAAGCACACTGATTTGGATCATGAATGTGAGTCCATCCATCCACATGAGGTGGTTCTTCGGACCGCCTGCCCCCCAGATTACACACTAGCTATGAGAAGGTCACCTGATGATGTTCCCTTAATGACACCCAACACCATTACAATGATTCCCAACACTATACCAGGGATTCAGCCCTTACACACATTCAATACATTTACTGGAGGACAGAACAATACTCTGCCCCACCCCCATCCCCACCCCCATTCACATTCAACAACCAGGGTATAGCCAGATAAGAGAAACAAACTATTTTTTTTTTGATGGATTGCAGTAAAACAAAATTACTGAAGATTCCTTGGCTTTCAACCTACAAGACTCTCACTATTTAAATAAGGAGGAATATTATGTGAATATACATATCAAGAACTTTGGGGGTTTTGAAAAAAATGAATTGTATATATATATACACAAATCAACTCTAAAAACAAATTTCAATTGCTTGAAGCAATTGTTCTGAATGATACTTTTTCATTCACATTCAAGAATTAATTTTTTGAAGATTTAAGTTGCATAATGGAATTAGGCATGTGGAACACCAAACAGGAAAGAACTATGTCCGAAATATAAAAAAATTTAAAAACAACTATGAATATGCACAAGGGACACACCAATGGAATGTCAGATAATTTTCACCAGTTTTTATTTGGAGCTGTTTTATTGTGTAGACCATATTTACATATTTGGATAAGTACACAAAGCACCAATGCTGTTAATGGCCTTAGCGGAGGCTCATGCTGAAATTTGCCAGTAAAACAAAGGAGTTTAAAGACTGGCAGGTACAACATTATCACATAAGTGCTGTCAGTATAAAGTTGTGGGGATAAAGGAAACTGGATATTTTTAGCACGATGTGCATGATAATTTATATGCTTGGTGGCTGTGCTGCTGATTAAGCCGTAATTAAAATTCTTCTCATCCCATTGGAGTTTTTAATAGAAGCTTCCTCCATCAATTGGCAGAACCTAAAGAAGATTTTAAGGGGCAAAAGTAATTACAGTAAAATAATTCACAGTAGCTTCAATAATAGAAGGAATTAGCTATTAAAGGTATTTGAAGAAATATAGGTATAGTGGTGAATACTCGCTGATATGAATCCCAGAAAAAAATTTTCCTGTGTTTTTAATGTTCTTTTCATTCCCATCTAAATAATTTATAGAAATATAACCCTAATTGGACATATGTTACCGGCTCTATAATTTGCTGTGTTTTTTTGTTACTCTGTATTTTGTTCCTTTTGGTAAGGTGAAGTGTGTCCAAAGAGTTGTTTGAAACAGTCTTTTATGATATGAAGATGCCCCAATATTACCACTCTGATGATAGTTCTCAGATAATTGATTTACTCATGTTGCATGGCAAAATGTTTACCGATAATAATTCAATATAAAGTTATGTCCCTCTTCACATCACTTATCTTTCTCACTGAGGTTCATTCACTGGAATTTTCTCACGCAATCTCAGTAGAGTGCGACATAGATAAAGAACCTAGGAGAGTCAACACCTGGAGGATTTTAGTCTTACACATGTGTGTGATTTTAAATGAATACTCTAAGATCACAGGAAACTCTTCATCCCCCTGTTTACCAGTAATATCAGTATATCACTGACCTTTCCAAATGTTTGTATATGTAATCCGATGTACATTTATATTAAAACAATGAGATGGACTTAAAGAGCACATCCTGATAAATACTTTCTCTCTTACCTGTACTATATTTCTATTAGACTAAAGTTATGTGATTTTTTTTTACATTTTTTCAGATGACTAGCAATTTTGATAGTTTGTAAGATAATGCAAAGAACTTTCTCTGACAAACTAACTGCAGTAACAGAAACCTTTCTTTTCAGTTACTCTTTTTCAAGAATGAAAGCTTATTATACAAAAGAAAAAAATTGTATACTACTTGATGGAAACAACTTTGTACATCTTGGCCATGTCACTGGTCATTGCGTGAAATAAAGATAATCTGGATAATGACTATTAGTCAAATGCTAAGAGACATGATCTTTGCTCATTAAAGAGCTAAAATGTTTATTGCTGTTTTGTCTTTTTTTACAAAACAAAAACAAGAGAAACATGACTGTCTCAAAGGGTCATTTTTCTAGACCAGTCGGGTTTTTGAAGACACATAGGTAACTTCTACAGAAAAACATGACCATGTGTTTAAAGTCAATTCTTGTCTAAGATTGAAACTTTAACATTATGGATTTATAAGCTCCAGAAACTCTTGAAAAATATTAGCTTTGTATTTTTAAATACCCCTTTTGTGAAGGTGTTTTAGAAATAAAGTGCCAATTGTTTTCCGTTAGAAACACAGGTTACAATTCTGATCATCAGGGAGAAGGTCTTTTGGAAAGAAATGTGCAAAAATTCATGAAATATAAATATCTAGATTCACGGGGCTGGGGATATAACTCAGTCGGTAGAGTGCTTTGCCTTGCATGCACAAGGCCCTGGGTTCAATCCCCAGCACCAAAAAAAAA